GCGCCCTACTCACTGAGCCACAGGTGCCACCCCTGAGGCCCATTTTCTTAAGAGGAAGGCTCAGCCTGAACTCTGCCGTGGGCTTCACTCACAGGCCTTACTTAGAGAGGGGATAGGAAGAAGGGAGAGGGACCTCTGTCTCCAGCACTCCACACCCTAGTCAGGGGTCCTCAAACTTTTTAAACAGGGGGCCAGTTCACTGTCCCTCAGACCACTGGAGGGCCAGACTACGGGCCCGGGACGAGTGGGCTGCTAAGCAGGACAGGTAGTAGCGGCAAAAACACCCGCTGGGCCAGATAAATGTCCTAGGCAGGCTGCATGTGGCCCGTGGGCCGTAGTTTGAGGACGCCTGCCCTGAGTTGTTACAGCATGCCTATCTATGCAGGGCTCTGGGCCAATGGGGGCTCCACTCATAAGATCTGCTCATTCCTACAACCACTCCTCCAAGTACACACATCATATTTTATGCCCATTTGGCTGGTGTAGAAACTGAGATCCAGTAGTTGTAGTGACTTGCTCATAATCACAAGGCTAGTGATGAGACTGGGGCCCTGGGCTTCTGCTGCTGTCCCTGAGACCGCACTATGCCAATAAGAAGGGCAAGTCAGAAGCCCTAGAAGGGAGGCAGATCCTAAGCAGGTTGTGAAATGAAGCAGGCACAGGCTCTAGCATCAGTATGCCAAGTGCTCTTCCTACCATCTTGATGAAAGCACTTAAGCTCTCCAAGCTTTCTTTCTTGCAGAAAATGGAGATACCAAATGTTTCTCATAAGTGCTTTCCCTGGGGATTAAGGCAGACAGGTATGTATAAAGCATCCACACAGCACCAGACACAGAGCAGATACTCCACAAATCTTGTCTTCCCCTTTTCCTACCCACCTCACGTCTACAGTCCAGCACCCACCCATCCCTCAAGTCTAAGTGAGGAATTATCAGCAAAGGGCAGCACTGAATACATCGCATGAGAACACAGGTTAGTCAGGCCTGCAATAGCTCTGCACACACCTGTGCATTCCGGGTCTGCCATTGAGCTGCCAACTCCTCCACAAAAGCCCCCATCCCTGGCTTTGTGCCCATAGCACAGTGGTTAGGGAGCCAGCCACAAACACGGGAGCTGGCAGGTTTGAACCCAGCCTGGGCCTGCTAAACGACAACTATAACAAAAAAATAGCTAAGCATTCTGGCAGGCGCATGTAGTCCCAGCTACTTGGGAGGCTGAGGCAAGAGAATTGCTTAAGGCTCGGCGCCTGTGGCTCAATCGGCTAAGGCGCCAGCCATATACACCTA